CCCTTGCCTTTGGTGGGCAGAACGCAATGCGCAAGAGGTACAAAGGAAAGTCAAAGGCTAATTGGTACCGCGGGATTTAGCGCTCCTACATGCATCTCCCCTGCTTGGTTATATTCCGGTGATGCCTGAAAGTTCTGCTTTCCTCCAGTCCAAGACAGGTGCCAACATATTAAACTCAGCCGGCACGGGCAAGATCATGACATGTCTGCTCCACGACTTGCTTACTATCTTTTCCAAAATTACAATCCATATCCTGTCCCTAAATATGGCTAAGCTCAGCTGTCACCTGATCCTGGGCAGCATTGGTTCGGCCCTGTTCAACGACCAGTGACACTACATGTACCTGGATCACACAATTTCTGCTGTCTTAGCGGGCTCCGATCATGTCATCTTGGAATTGCCGGCAGCATCTTGACTCGGATGCAGCAGATTAGCCTGGAGCTTGTATTCTTGCCAGGAAGCCCTCGTTGAACTAACCCAGAGGAGTCAATCAATATTTCCAGCATTTACTCGCTGCATATTCAAGTCTGTCTTATTGCCCAACATGCCTTGAAGCAGTACGTCTGCTACTTGCAGAACTTGAGTAGCTAAAGTCGGTGGCAGGCCCCGGCTGCATGCAGAGGATAATTAGAGCAAACAATGAAAACTTTAATGCAACACACCCGCTTTGTGGGGAGCAGCAGTTCCTGGTTGCAACAGGCTGTATAGCATGGTGTCATCAGCAAAGGAGCTAAGGCGCGTTCCTGGGGTAAGACATAGGCCGATGTCGCTGACGTAGATAAGAAATAAAGTCGGCCCGAGGATACTTCCCAGAAGTACTCCCGCGACAGTAGGACCCGGCTGCTTCACCACTGCTGGAAGTTGCCGGATTTCTTTCCATGTGAAACTTATTTATTCATTTGCTAGTTGGAATCGGACGAGGAGTGCTGTGTTGTTTGGCTCTTTCGTCCTCCGGTCTGTGATGTATGCGTACAATATCTGTATCAGGTCACGTGGGGAGATTGCCTTGGGGGAATCTCTACCGTACCTGTCCTAGAGTTTTTGGTGATGACAGATCATTGTTGTTTTAGTTTGGACTTGGTGACAACTCAAGGAATATTTTGATCTCTTCAATGTCGTTTGTTGATGTGAGCTCGAACGAACATAACACGGTCGTGCAACGCCGGAGTCGAAATTCAATACAAGGACAGCTAGTTCCTTTCTTGTCACAGCGAAACTCCGAATGCGAAAAGACTGTTCTGGCGTACTGACGTCATGAGGTCGTACGCATTCAAGATTCAAAACGCGTGCACTCTAGCCAAAAAGGTCTCGAAAATACTTGAAAATACTTTAGATTTGCGAGGCCTCGTCATAGCCGATCGACGAGTATCTTCGAAGAAGAAGCCCCTGGAGATCGACCTTTCCCGAAAGTTTCAGAAATGACAACAAGTGGATCCCCCCTCTACAAGACACTGTCTCGCCGAAATTTGTGTCAAAAAATCGTGGTACGCTCAAAGTCGGAAAGAACTTTTTTCCTTGAGGTTTTCACCCGCTTGCCTCCTGTATTAATGAAGAATATTGTGAACCGTGTGTCGCTGTCGCAGCTCGTCGCATGTGTCGCAAGTCGCATGTCGCGTAGCAAGCAGAGAGGCAGAGAGGTTCTGCTATACGTGAAACGTAGAGAAATCACGTAGAGAGCAGGTGTCTGGGTTAGAGTCTACGGCTTCGCGTGTTTTGAGTCCAGATTTCTACGCGTAGATGAGGTTCTCTACGTTGTGGCACTCGCAGAGAAAATGCGTACGGATCTGCTTGGTATCATTCGAGTGCAGGCAGAAAACTGCCAAACATGGAAGTGGAATTCCCAGTACACATTCCACGTGACTTCTCTACGTGAAACGTGGAGCAGAACATGATTTCTTTACGTTACGGGAACACGAAGAGAGTTCACGTGATTCTTTGCGTCGCATTCCCGAAACGTAGAGCAGAACCTCCCTATTGTGAATCGGCCTTTACTTGGCGATGGCGCAACAATGATAGATTAGCACCAGGGAGTTGTATACAGGTGGAATCCTGATAATTCGAACATACCGCTTAATTAGAAGTTTTTCCAGGACCGTTTTCTATCAATACGATTCCCACATAAATATTTCTGATAATTCGAACCTAAAACTAGACATGTCCGGTTAATTAGAAGTCCCACGGATTCCACTTTCATAGAAAATGTGTGGGATTTGTGCTGATAATTCGAAGTTAGTAAAGTGCAGGGATGAATTTATCCTGTATCGCATCGCAGTTTGCGATGCAAAATCGATCTACTGCTACTTAAAGTCACCATGACTCGCAGAAAACTGCGATACATACAGACTATCCATGCCTAGCCTGTGCTATCAAGTGATATGCATACAATGCAGTGTATGTGGTGCAGGCACTCTCAATCTGCGTGCACATGTATGCTTCAGTCGTTTTTTTTGCAAATGGGCTTTCAGGCATCACTCTCAAGAAGGACAATGTGGTAAATACCTTACCTCCAAAGAAAAAAAATGCTGATCAAAGTCAAAGACTGCTACACAATTGTGATTTCGTATAGCAGAAACTGCTATGCAAAAATATGACAGTAAATTCATCCCTGAAGTGTAATTCGAAGTTCACTGTACACTGTACTGGTCAGTTCAGTTTGCATGAGCAGACTGTGCCGGTCAGTTCAGTATCCATGAAATCTGTGTCTAAGGCGTGACAATGAGAGCATTTTGACATACATATTGTGTTGTGGGTTCATGTTTGGATAGTTAGAATGTCCGGATAATTAGAAGTTTTTTCCTGGCATTTTGAGGTTCGAATTATCAGGATTCCACCTGTATACCCGGGAGGCGACACGAGGCCTTCCGGGCGACTATGATTGACTCCCGGCACTTTCTCCCACTTTTTCCTCAAGACAGCTTTCCTCCATTCTTGGACAATACTGTATTTTAATACTTTACGAAATTGCTGTGCTCGTTCCTAAGGGCTTGGTCAAACTCCAGCAAAAATGAAATAATCCTGTGATTATAATCTGAATCTCCATAGAAATTTGACGCCAGAGCGGCTAAATCGAGGGTTGGCACTTCAAAAAGAAAGCAAGAATGGACCACGCTTTTTCGCTCCAAACAGGATTGTGATGCAGATACGCCATTGACGCTGATCATTCACTGAATTTTTCATCTCGATATCGAGGAGCTACGGACAACTAAAAAAACCCATAAGGATGGTTGCAAGGATTGCACTGAAGGTGTTGGCGATTATCGAGATGAATGCTCGAAATGAATTTTGAATTTTCATTCTCCCCACGTGTGTAGAGTGATTGCGATTCTAATCCTGAACGATTTTCTTTTTTCGTCAGGCATCAACGAATTGCTTAGCAGAGCCGTATTTCTCGACTTGTCAGCCGCTGATTTGCCCAGAAACTTCTCCATGCCGGTGTCGATCTCACAAGTAAAATACTGACACGCTTGAAGAACTACAACACATCGAAGAAAGACTCGAATATCCCGGGTGCTTTTCAAGAATCAAGAACAGTTTTCTACGCGGATCATTTTTCGAATGTCGCGGACTTTGTCGAAATTGCAGAAAACAACACGGCTGCGGAATTGCAAGTTCCTGGAGGGACAATAGAGAGGTTCTGCAAAACGAAAATGTGTACGAACTTTCGCTCCACGTCACGAAGTGAGAAACTTCGCACGAACTTTCGCAACTTTGGACGCGAAACTTGCAGGGAAGGCGAAATGAACTTTCGTAGGAAGTTTCGTGAGATTGGATCATGTCGTACGTGCACTTGGCGCGTGCAAACTACGAAAATGTGCAGAACACAAAGTTCGTGCGAAAATTCGTACACATTTTCGCAAGGCCTGTCGCGAAACTTCGTTCGGATTTTCGTTGTGCAGAACCTCTCTAATGAAAGCCACATGTGTTTCCCAGGAGTGTGCGGCATTCCCTCAAACGCACAGTGCAACAATAATAGAAAAGCTGACAGGATCGCTTTTCTAAATACAGGTCGTCCCCCGTTAATACGAGTCCGGTTAGTACATAAACCCCGTTAGTACATAAGAAATCTCAAGTCCCGGACGAAACGTGGTCACTTCCATACAAATTTTGTCGGTTAGTACATAATTCGTTAGTACATAAACCCCGTTAGTACATAACATTTCTCCGTACCCGCATGCCACCTACCTCAATAGTACATAATTTGTTGGTCTTTTGGCCTTCCAGTGGAGGCACGTCGTGTTCTAGTTTCTACTTGTGGACGCAATTAGCTCAGAAATCAGAGCGCACATCACAAACTGACAAAGCTCTGTTTTTTTTCCGAGTGACTGTGCAGCTAACACAGGCGCGGCTGGGCATGTATCATGTAAACTGTAGAATCTTCGCTGACTGTGACCGTTATAACATAATTTTTATGTTATATCGAGGGAATCAAGAATATCTCGCTCCCTAGTCATGGCAGCAAGAAACACTCAGAAAAGTTGAAAAAAGTGAAAAATTCTAGTATAGAAGCAAGTTATGTACACTTTCGTTTAGTACATAAACCCCGTTAATACATAACATTTGTCAAGTCCCAGAGATTATGTATTAACGAGGGACGACCTGTACTACATTTGTGGCACTCAAGATAGTGGCCCCGTTGGCACTTCAGTGCGGCTTCACTTATGCAAAAGATCTCGGAATTCTTCGAGACTTGCTCCTAAAACATCTCAATTTCTTCGACTTGCAGGAGAAATTTCTCTGAGAAGTTGGAGAAAAATGAGAACACCTCTTTTACCAGAAACGAGCCTTACAGGAGAGCATGCGTTTGAAAACTTGCCACAAGACCAACATCAACGTAACAGATGGTGTTCTTACGAGTTCAGGCCGAATGCTATGTGTGTGCAACACACCAGTCTTACCGTCTACTATGACTCTAACCCCAGTTTGTTCGGCTGGATGCCAGTGCTACCTGCGGCTCCCTCATCAGGCTACAGAAGACAAAGATAGTATGCCACTGTTGCCACTGGTAGGGTATAATTAAAATTTCTGCCGTGGGAGTCTCTAAATCTCTATTCCTGGTGATAGACTTCTGCATGTGAAACACTAATATTGGTATAAGCAAATGCGAAAAGCAATACGACAAGACTGATGATAGGATGTGGAAATCAGCCGGACACTTGAGTTAGGTGAGCTAGCTCCCGACGGTGGTAAAAGCCTTAAAATAATTGATCAGACTGCTGCGAAGAGTCCAATTGTGCGCCAAGTTAGATGGCGTAGCGGCTGCAGATGTAGGCCATGCGATAGGCGACGCAAGCACAAGAGATGACGCCGGTCAGCTGGGTGCCGACATGGTAGAAGTCAAACTCCTTGCGCAGGGCAGTGTACTTGGCATTACCCTGCAGAAGGGCAGGAACGAGCACGCGTACACACACACACGCGCACACACGTGTGAAGACGGAGAGCACAAAAAACAACAGATCACTTGTTGTTGATGGCAAGACCCCAGATCGGCGGAATACAACAAGCCCCACCGTCACTATACCCCCAGTATGTAATTTCCTCCATAACTGGGAGCAGTGATCATTGATAAAAAAGTAAATGAAAAAAAACTAACACCATAATGATTGTGAAAAGAAGAAGGACAAAATGTTACAAGTTATGACTAACTGTCTACCAACGTAACCAGATCTTATACAGTCAGCGAGTGCGAAAAAATGGCACAAAACTGACAAGGAGTACTGAGACTTTCGGCCATCATCCGAGTTACCATAATGATTGCGATCATTGATGCTATGAGTCACTTTTTCACAGGCGGCCCCATGAACAAAGTTAAAATTTGTTTACTTCAAGTAACCACCGTACATCTGCATCTCCAGCAAATCGGAAATAGGGCCTCAGCAACGAGGAATTCACAAGAAGTTCTATCAACACGCAGTGTCAATATTCAGGTGTGAATTTTCATCATCGGCCGAACATTAAGAATCCTTCAAATTCATGAAAAAATGAAAGAAACTCACCTCGAATTTCTTCATGTCCAAGAAGCGGATAGCATGGCCCTCACCGACCTCCTTCTCCATCTTGTGGCATACGCGCATGATGCGTGTACCGTTGGGCAGGAACCAGACGTTGTTGAGCATGGAGGTGACCAGACTGACTGCCAGAACGATGAGCTGAAAGTCACAACACAATGAGAAGTACAACAATAATACGTTCAGTCTCAAAGTAGCAGAACTTGAACTTAGAATGGAGGGATTTTGTTCACAACTTAGCACACAAAGCCAAAACAAGGGAACGGACCAATGAGTAGAGTTATGACTACAAGTCCGCCGATGCAAGGAGATGATTATACAGTCAGATAGTGCGACAACACGGCACAACACTGACAGAGGTGCTGAGACATTCGGCAACCTAACGCCTAGCTTCAAAACATCTACCAAGCAAGGGAAATGTCTAGATTTACAACTCTAGTAGCATTGTACTTGTACTTCAGTCGGTTTTTTACCAGCAATTTCTCGCACTGGATCATTTCAAAACTGGACACATGTTTTACAGATTCGAATGTCCGACTGGCTCACAAGGCAACGCATGAACTCCAAAAAGCCAGTCCCATTCCAAGGATATTCTGTAGCTAGGAATAATAATGTGGACGATAGTGGCTAAACAAAACAAACAGAAAAGGCGGGTTGTGGATCTAGTTCAAGCGACAGAGTGTTATCGTACTTGAACCATTTCCTCTCCGTTCAAAGTGGCCACTGGGTGCTGGTGGAGGAAAGTGGCGATGGCCAATCCCATGCAGATGTTGCCAAACTGGAACATGATCGGGATGACCTGAGACTGCAGGTTGCCAAAGTGGTGACGGGGGAGAATCTCCAGCATCAGTACACCTGTGTCAGGACAAAAAAATCAAAAGTACACACACACACACACACAAGTACACACACATACAAGTACACAAACACACAAGTACACAAACACACACACACACACACACACACACACACACACACAAGTACACATACAAGTACACATACAAGTACACACACATTCACAGACACACAGTCACACACACGCACATTAGCAATATATCTTCACAACCAAAACATAGATCAAAACGTATTTGATGGACAGGGCAGATTGACGAACAGTCTACTCTGGAGTACATGTAGTCTCGCACCCAGTTGAAGTTTGCTGTCCTTGCGGAAGTACGACCCTCCGTTGATTGTGTTGATGAGGTTCACAAAGTCCACGTTCAAGTGTTCATGCAACAATCAGAGCCGGGCTCTGCATGAAAATGTTGATCAGCTGCTCATGCTGTCTCAAGACCATGACCTGTCTCCAGCCGTCCCTGGACCACATCAAGTCCAAGGGACACAAGAAGAACGTGGAGGCCGATCATCGGCCGACCTTCAAGTGCTGCTCAATCTGCGGACAGCATGAAAATTTTACAAAGCCAGATTTAAACCAGGCCCAAACGTAGCTTGCCACATTTATAATTACGCTGTTGTCGAGACTGAAGATCATGCAAGTGCACATGTGTATTCATGTTCAATGTGCTCTGTTCTCTTGTTTGTAAGGTAACTATAGGTCAAATTTTCACTAGCTTGCAAAAAAAATACTCATTGAGAATTACTCATTGAGTATTGCTATTCTTCTGTTCTTCTTTCCCTTGTTCCTACAGGGTAGTTGGGCACACGTCAGGCAGTTCAATGCTCAACAGTAGTACAACACATCACGTACGGAAATCGGCGGCGAATCCGCGGCCGCAGCAGAGGCCGTGGGAGAGCTGTGCGACACTGTACTACAGTATGGAAATAAAATAAATAAAATAACTGATGAGGGGTGAATTCCCCGAAACACTGTGTATTGAGCAGGGAGTGGTGCTTTCTTGCAGGTTTGCCGAGTCGAAGGTTCGATGGACTTCTCGTGTGCTCTGGATGGCAGTCGTGAGTCAGTCAAGTGTCAAGTAAAGTCGGCGGAATAGCGCGAGCTCCGGTGTGGGGAGCAAACCCTTTCTTACAAATCATCGCCGAAGTCGCAACCACTACTTCGTAAAATAAATAAAATAAATAAAATAATTAAAATCAAATTACTTCAAATCCTCTCCTCAGTGTGATGCGTGACTGCGCATATGCATGATTATAACCTCCATGCTGGGACCTTGGAAGATGCAGGTATGATTCGGACAGATTGATTGGAACGTGTTACAGTGGACGTGCACAAGGCTTCCACATCAATGTGTACTGATATGATGTGCATAGATAGCAAAATTTACGGCATTCCTTACAGACAAAAAAAGAAAAGAAATTACCGTATGTCCGCACCTTTAAAAGCCATGGCGGTATATTCAATTATAAAGCTAGTCTCAGTTATAAAGCCATGGGCTTCGTACCGTATGTCCGCACCTTTAAAGCCATGGCGGTATATTCGATGATCAAGCCATGGGCTTCATAAATGAAATGACATTTTAAGTTTGTTTTGTAAAAATGAAGGAATAAGTACTATGCTAACAAACTTACAGCCCAGCAGGAAGGGTGAACAAGTAGATATGGATTGAAATTTCTGTGTGGACTTTGATTTTTATGGCACGGTGTAGTGAGCGAGTCATTTCGCATCTAAAATATCTAGGAAAGCAGCGGTGTTTTGAATAGAAGGCCATGGCTTTAAAGGCGCTGACATACGGTATAGCAATAAAAACTGCTTTATGGCAGTTTTCTAAAAAAAGTTATTGTGTTTTAGTCTATGGACCCCGTCTAAAAAGTAAGAAATTAACGAAATGTGATTGCCGGAAATAAAAATTTCACACAAAACCTCTCAATAATCACACACAGGATGAAAAGCGAGAAGACCTTTTCCCCTCTTGATCCTCTTTCCCATGCATGCATGTTGGTGCAGTACAAGTACAAGAGAAAACAAGTGTTGAAAGCAGTATTAATTTTTATTGTCAAGTGTTGCGATTATTGCTACAAAGACAACTAATTGCACAGCGAGCATTTCATAATGTCGACATGTATGTGTAAAATGTAAAATCAGTTGTCTTTGTAGCTATATTAAAACTGCTGTTTCCGAAACGCTTGTTCTGATTATTGTGAGGTTTTGTGTGAAATTTTAATATTTCCGAAATGTCTCCGCAAGTTTCTGGAGGGACAGTCACTTGCACAGTCTCTCAAGCCAATGAAGCCCTCCTCAATTCAATATTGCAGTCAACAGTTACACACCTACGAGACGACGTGATACTTTTTTATCTACTGTAAAACATGTAATTTTAGATGCATTAAAATTTCGGTGCCGGAGACCTGCCAGGCTTCGGGTGCAATGTAGAATTAGGTGACCAGCATTCCCCTGGTGGGAAAGTGTGTGCTACTGATACTTCAAAGTATAATGAAAAAATACTAGTACCAGATGGTTGAAAAATTATCTCTTTGTCTGTCACCAGTTAATCCTATATACAGGATTAAACTTCAAGACGCATTTGCAACCTCGAAAATGGTCGAAGTGGAAGCAATGTTATTGAAGATGCATTTCGATCTTTCCTTCGATGTATCTCTTTCTTTTAGATGAATGAATCGTTGTCCATCACGACTTTACATTTTAATAAAACCGTCGTAACATGTCACTTCAGCTGATTCTGTTCATTGCCATCTTAAAATTAAATGAATAGCCCAATGGCTAAGACCCCCAGGAAAGGTCTCTGGGTGCAATTGTTGCTGATGAATTGCAATTACAAGTGATAGAAATAGACTAGGAGTGGAATAGATGAATATTAGCACCACCCTAGCATTGAAGTCGTGTTGTAAAGTGCTCGCAGATCAATCTGAACTAAAGACACTACATGCATGGGGCATTTACTAAATTAGTTGTGTGTAAGTATGTACTCAGATGGAGAGCCAAGGTTTAATTTATACAGAAGAGTGGACAGTACAGCGTAACTTGTAGTTCCGTGGTCTTTCTCTTTTGTGTAAGTATGTACACATATTAATAGTGGAATACTCTTGGGGTACTAGCCTACAGTCCATTCAGAAAAAGATGAACTTCTAGCTTTTGGCCATAAATGGGTCAAACTTTGAGTTTTTTTAGAATTTTTTTCTGCAATCCCCTATGGAATCCTCTTCCAATTATGTTTCTGAAGTCTATTTGTCCAAAAAGCAAGCCATAACAAGAATAGGATATCGGCCAGGTTTTGCCCCAGAAGGTTGGTCCCATTCCAGAATGGGAATCGCGGAGAATGATTCTTTTTGGGGAATGATCATTCCGCCTCACAGGCTGGAATGAGCATTCTCATTCCGGAATCAAAAATGATAATGGTTGCCTCGAGCCAAACAATGTAGCATCAGGTTCAAGTGCCTCAAATCATGCACTCAGAAATACCTTGACTCTCTAAAGTAAACTAGAGTCGGGTAAAAGAGAAGAGAGCCGCCGTTCCACACCGACATCATGGAATTGTTATGTCAAGTGGTTCCTAGTTGATTCTGGCGCGTTAGTTTGGTCAGGTGATTCTTGCCGATTCCCATTCCAGAATGGTTGTCATTTACATTCTGAAAATGCCCAACCAAACGCAACCTCAGCAGTGCCCATATAAAGCAGTGCCCATATAAAGCATGCCTCATGAAACTATACAATTCTCCCAACGCTACTATCTTGCTCACTGCCGGGGAAATAATAATTTGAACTGCACTGGTGACTGGGGGTTAGGCTTACCTTGGAAGATGGCTCCCCAGGCAGCCGTTCCGAACCAGAGAGCGCAGACGAAGCCATGAAGACCCCTGACGATGGCAGTGCAGCAATCATTGCCACTGCTGGCTCTGACGGCTGTGGCGACCAGGATACCGGCCAAGACCACTGACAAGGTCACTTGCCACACGCGAACATTCATCTTGACTTGCTTGCCGTGAACAACACAACACAGCGGAAAATGCCTGAACAAAAAGTGAATTTGGGTAAGGAGAAGAAATCCCCTGCGTGCCTTTATGTCGTGGTTTGTAGGCGCTGACCGGAGGTTTCCAGGCTGTCCACTCTCCCGTAGCTAGCTGCACAAGACAAGAATATGTTGTACCGCAAAGGCCACTACGCACAGGAAAATGCACTTTCGGAGTTCCGCGGCCCGCCTTTCCGCTCGTCCTTATAAGCAAAACGTGTACGGGGCGTGTACTTTTCATGCATGGTGCATTATATATTGTGCTGATTCCCGATTTCGATCGGCGGTACGGGTACGCGCGCGGTATCCTCGCAATGAGTTCTTTTCGAAAGTGCGATTGGGGCCAGGGAGTCTACAATAAAAATACCTTTTACCATACAAGCCTCTTGTACGGGCAAAATAAACAGCAACCTCAACAGCCTAGCCATGAAAAACGAGCAAAAATGGCTGTGAAAACCAGGGAGTAGTATAATACTACTCCCTGGTGAAAACAGTCGAGCTCGCGAGAGAGCAAAAATGGCTGTGAAGCAGGGAGTCGTATTTTACGACTCCCTGCTGTGAAGACAGTCGAGAGAGCAAAGATTTTACGACTCCCTGATTGGGACTCTATTTTCAACAAAAAATTTAAAAAAAACTTCGTCCAGTCAGTACTCGTACTCGTACATATCATCAAGAGTACTCTAGTCTTGACGGCTGAACTGTAATGTGGACTTTGCCCAGCTATTCAGCACGTTTTATGGCCCATGGTCGAGGGTTTCGAAAGACGAGATCCCACTTCCTTTGTGTTTGGCTTGTGGACAAAATTATTCGCCGGCCCGGAGCCACACTCGGGTACTCGAGCATCAAGGCAAGAGGCCGAGGAGTTCACAAACCAAGCCCTCGCTCTTGCCGTTCTGAAGTTGGATCGGATTGTGCATGCACCCATTGCAGTACTTCCACAAAAAAAACTTCCACGTGCGGAACCACGTGTGACAAAAAAAGTAGGGGTACGGTATGCTTGGGTCTTTTTCATAATTATTGCTTTTATTGCCTTTCAGTCATGTGTTCAGTGGTTTCAGCTTGGTCGACGAAGTGAAAACTTTCTCTGTCCTCTTATTGTTTGAAAACTAGAGCCCATCGGGCCATGGGTAGAACTGGCGAATAGTAAAATCGGTACGCGGTATGCCCTCTAGAGCTAGAGACGTTTTGCAGAGCGAAACTTCGCATGGATTTTCGCGTCTGACTCTGGGGCGCCTGGGCATATGCGAATATTTCTGTTCGCGCGAAGTTTGTGTTTTGTATAATTTTCCCTCCAAGAAAAATACACGTGCTTTCGCATATTTGAGAAGACTAAAGTCGTCTTCGGAGCTTCATGCGAATCTTTTTGTTGCGAGTGGCGGCATCCTGGGACGAGAGCTCTTTGACTACGTTTTCCATGGCCGGAGACGCACAGACAAACGGGTTGGCCTGTGCTAACAGAGTCAAGAGCTTTATTTATTTTTAATTATAATGAGTTGGGAATGCAATAAATTGAAAATATGGCCGAAAGCTCTGTCGCAATATTTACTATTTTAGGGCGCGTTTGGTTGGTACGAACTAGAACAGGATTCACCAGAACAGCGCGTTTGGTTGGGACCGCACCTGTTCTGGGTCGGCCAGAACATGTTCTGCTTGCTCCGGCCTCGAGGCCGGAGCAGACCGAGCAGTTTCACTTTTTCACAGTGAAACCTGGCGGGAACATCGATTTTGGTCCCAGATGATCACGTGCATACACTTTTGGGTTGGATTCGTCGTACCGTACAAAGTGACCATGGTGACCCATACACATTTTTGAAGAATGCACCAAGTTTGGCACATTTTTCCACAAAAATGTGCTCGGTTTCTGGAGTACCGTTTGGTTGGCATAAGGCTGCTCAATGTGCACCAGCTGTTCGATCCTGTTCTAGATCGTACCAACCAAACGCACCCTTAGTTCTGATAGCAAAAACCGAGTAAAAAAATGTGCTAACCGAATCCGGCGCATTCAACACCTGCAGATACTCGTAGATCTACGTTCGAAGCGAATCTTGACTACCCCTGTGTACGATAGTACACGGGTCATGCGCAGTCGCCCGAAGGTTGTACGACCGCGCGCGACTCCCGCGCCGAACCACGCACGCAGGCTCCCATGACTCCGCCTTTCGTACTCTGTGGATTCGGATTTGGTGCAACGGGACCAAAAAAGCAAGCCCAGGAGTCATGGCGTATACGACATATTGTATATTGTACAATTTCGAGAACTTCCCCAAGCCGGCCAGAAAGCAGCAACCAGATATCAGCAGAAGCGCTTTTGCTTTTGCCCGCACAATCCAATCCACCACCTTGTGAGAAGGAAGTGTGTTCCTCAGGCATTTGCCGACCCGTGTAGCTTTGCGACCTCCGCTTCGCTTTCGCAAGTCAAGATGAATGTTCGCGTGTGGCAAGTGACCTTGTCAGTGGTCTTGGCCGGCATCCTGGTCGCCACAGCCGTCAGAGCCAGCAGTGGCAATGATTGCTGCACTGCCATCGTCAGGGGTCTTCATGGCTTCGTCTGCGCTCTGTGGTTCGGAACGGCTGCCTGGGGAGCCATCTTCCAAGGTAAGCTAATTTTACCTCGGTTCCTCCCAATGCTCCATTCCGATTGTACTGCTGTGAGCCCCTCTACAATACACTCCCCCGGCTGAGGCCCCATTTCCTCGAGCTCATGTGCGTGCGTGCATCTGTGTATGTGCTGTGTGGTTGGCACTTGGCAGCCCTCGGAGTGCAGTGCTGAGTTGTCATTGTGCGCTGCAAGCGTAAACAATTAATGATCTATCCTCATATTTTGTATAAGTAGGGCGGTGTACCACCCTTGGTCTCCGCTGTTGAAAACTAGAGGGCATAATCCTTGCATCTGTACTTTCATGAAATAATGCGTGAGGGGTATTTCCTGGGCTCCGCACGCCGTAAATGATGCGGAGCCTGTCACTACCCAGTCATATCATACTCTAGTCTCTAGGCATTGTGGCGGTTGTATCGTGTGCCCAATCTCATAAAAGTCATCTCTAACGAGCTGGGTTGATTTAGGCCGCGGGCACACCGAGCCCGATGCAGCCGTTCAGCTAAAAAAGCGCTTTTTTCGGCTGAGGTTTCACGGAAACGACTGAAAATCGGGGCACCAGCCACTTTCAGCTTTCAGCCCTTTTGGAAGCGCTGAAAGTGGCTGAATAATTTTGGCTGAAGTGCAAGAGTGCACGAGGAATTGAAGAACTTGAGTCGACGTTTGTTGTAGTCAGGTAGTTTCTTCTTCTCTTGTATTGTAGTTGTGTGAAGTGTTTGAAGGTTTTCGTTGTCAGCCATGGATGGCTGGAGCGTGGACTGGAGCGCCGATTGCTCGAGCTGTGGTACGAAGCAAAAACGCGATATCAGACGACAATGAAAAAGGATACGAGCAAACGAGCCTAGATCTTCGCAGAACTGAAAAAAAGTTTGCTGCGAATGAAGCCGGGTGCACTGTGCTGTTTGTGTGCATGTGTGTTGGGGTAAATTATGTGTATGTGCTCGTGTTTGTGTGCGTACTTGTTTTTTGTTGTCCTGACACAGGTGTACTGATGCTGGAGATTCTTCCCCGTCACCACTTTGGCAACCTGCAGTCTCAGGTCATCCCGATCATGTTCCAGTTTGGCAACATCTGCATGGGATTGGCCATCGCCACTTTCCTCCACCAACACCCAGTGGCCACTTTGAACGGAGAGGAAATGTGCCAGGTAAGACAGTGCTGACCCGAATTTGCTAGCAATTCTTCTAGCAAAATATCGAAGAATTTTGAAAGGGAATTTGCTGGCAAAATGGAGCAAAATATCGGTGTGTTGGCTGGCAATTGGGAGATTTTACACATATACGGTGCACATGACTCATTTCGGCACAATTTTACCAACACGTGACTCACTTTTTCTCATTTTTGCCAATACGTAACCCACTTTCGGTCAGTTTTCTCACACGTGACACAAATTTTGGAGCAAAAAGGGAGCAAAATATCGAGTGGCCTAGCAAAATGAAAGCAAAATTTCGACGATGCACGAGCAAAATTATGCCGCAAAATATCGAGATTCAGCTGGCAAATTCGGGTCAGCACTAGCTGACAGCGCCTTGATTCCCGAAAAAGATCACGCGATCCCTTTTTTACACGAATTTATCAGAACGTTCAATTATTTTGTAATTTGAAAACAATCATACGTAGTATTGCCAGAGACTGTTCGTGTGTTGCGAGTTGGAGGTGAGATGTAAACCATGACAAGGCTGCAATGGAGCTTTCAAAGTCAAATTTGGTCGCATGACAAAGGTGTGAAACCATTCTGTATGCTGCTGTCAAGGTGTGTTGTTCTGTGAGCACACCCAGAGAACTGCGTGTGTGTGCAGTATAATTTTATGGCATTGTAATTACACAAGAGAGAGATTGGAAGCTGTGTCACAACTCTGAGTTTCACGTATTACTACGATCATCGGGCAACTGATGGATCCAAAACGGGCATTGTATTGCATTGTAATAGACCCTTTGCGCAATGACGTAATTTGTACCATACACACCCTTCATAGCCACCTGAGGGGGGGGGAGGGTCGTCTGGGGTGTTGAACAGTGCACTCGTACTCCTGATCCCGGCATACTCACAACCATTACTCATGCATTCCATATTTGCATTCCATATTTGGCTGTGAAGGGTGTTTTTACGTCATTGCGCAATTGGTCCATTATGTAGAATGGCAACCACAGCAGGTAAATGGCCTAATAGCGTAACAATGACTGTTCCAGTGTATTTCAGCAGAAAACACAATGTCCTTTTCATTCACACTGCTGAGCAGTAAATCAGATTTTCTAATCAAGCACCCATCCTAGTCTAGCAGAATTCCAACGGCACATATGGTGCCGGATTAGAAAGGGACCACTGTAGTCGGCGCTTTGTGTCCATTCTGTTCCTGTCTGATTTTTGTTTGTGTGTGTGATCTGCTATGCAGTTGGCCGTTCTGGCTGTCAGTCTGGTCACCTCCATGCTCAACAACGTCTGGTTCCTGCCCAACGGTACACGCATCATGCGCGTATGCCACAAGATGGAGAAGGAGGTCGGTGAGGGCCATGCCGTCCGCTTCTTGGACATGAAGAAATTCGAGGTGAGTTTCTTTCATTTTTTTCATGAATTTGAAGGATTTCTCACGTTCGGCCGATGATGAAAATTCACACCTGAATATTGACACTGCGTGTTGATAGAACTTCTTGTGAATTCCTCGTTGCTGAGGCCCTATGTCCGATTCAATGGAGATGCAGAGATACTGCTCTGGGAGACCAACTTTCACATTGTGTTCTACTGTGGGTACTTGAAGTAAACAAATTACAACTTTGTCCCTGGGACTGCCAGTGAAAAAGTGACTCGTGGCGTCAAAGATTGCAATCGTTATGGTTTAGTTTCTTTTATTTACTTTTTACGATGATCACAGCTCCCAAGTACGGAGCAAGATTAAACTAATGGGGTATATTGATAGTGAGGTGTGTTGCCCTCAGCCGTTCTGGGGTCTCGGCATCACGGGGCCAACTGACGCACCGGAAACAAGTGATCTGATACTTTGCTTTTGTTCTCCGTCTCCGTGTGTGTGCGTGTGTTGTCCTTGTGCTGCAGGGCAATGCCAAGTACACTGCCCTGCGCAAGGAGTTTGACTTCTACCACGTCGGCACCCAGCTGACTGGCGTCATCTCCTGTGCTTGCGTCGCCTATCGCATGGCCTACATCTGCAGCCGCTATGCTATTTAAACTGATAGCCTTTTGGGCGACGTGTCTTTTATATTTTCTTTGAGAATTAGAGAGATGCTCAGAAATAGAATTCCAATTTTGTTTTCGTTATTCTCTTAGATACAGTGTACCTTGTTTCGCTCCTGTCTATATACGATAGCTGTGTAAGACGGACAAGAGATTTGTTTTATCGTTTGTTGTGAAACCTTGGTGACAGGCGTGTAAATATTTTCGTAACCCTTGGCTCGTGTGCAACTAACTGCAAGTTTGTCCAGTGCATGACTGACTGCAAGTTTGTCCAGTGCATGCTGGGGAGATAGAATACACATCACGTGACATGGTGCTGCTCAGCGATATCCAGTTGCGTCGCTCCAGTACGCGGTGCCGGGCGTTGACACTGGGCTGCGAAGTGCTGCAACTACAGCAGCAAGGCGTAAACTTGCAATGAGTACCACGGCCGGATTTCATTGAGCGGCACTGTTGTATTGTAGTACACTTTGTAGTCTTACATTATGTGGAATTCTGTTTGGCGCTTGGCGTGCGCGCATGTGGTCAATTGGGATTCGGAACTGAATTGCATAATAATGTTGTCTAAATCGGGGAGTAGTATTACCAAGAGTCCATAAGGCCACCCTTTCTTTTTTCGTTGTTTAACGTCCGCGCCGCGTACCTTTTTGCCTCCGACCGGAAAAAAAACAAGAAAGTAGTAGTACCAATACAGTAGAGTCGCGCGCTGAAGAACGTGGAGCCCAAGAACGTCCAGCCTGAAATACTAAGAACGCCACAGCCTAAAGCTAAGAACGGCGGTGTTGGTTTTCTGGCAGCTTGTGGGATACATATGATCCAGTACGCACTGTTTCTAAGAACGCAGCCAGATTGCTGAAAAAAATAAGAACGTCCCAGGCTAACCCCTTCAAAACAACGTTCTTGGGCGCGCGACTCTACTGTAATATGCGAAGTTGTAAATACATGATTGTGTAGTTTCACAGTGTGCCAATCATGACCTTAAACTTATAATCTTGCCTTCCGACATGCCTTTGTCTTGTGTTCTTTTTCCTTTTTTGTTGGCTTTTAAGTATCGTACGGTGTGTGTCCCAGTAAAAATCCAGATGTAATGAATTCATGACATGCTAACTCCATGCTTTGTACCTGTTTTGTTGGATTCATCAGGCATGTGCTCCAATGTACCATCAAAGAGTGTTGTTCCAAGTGCCGTTAGTCTAACGGCACTTGCAGGCATAGAACAACACATGTGATATATATACAATATTATCACATGCTTTACTGGTCAAAATGTTTGATTGGGGTTTCCAGTTTTTGGAATGGGCTTTTTTTTCGCCCTCCCGCGTACCTTTTCACGAAAAAAGGACGTTAAACAATGAATTAACAAAGGGTGGCCCCATGGCCTAAACAAGCGTATGCAACTGGGATCTCTTTTCTATGGGCCAGATGCATGGCGCGCTGCCTTCATTACATCATTCAGCTGCAGTCCGCGCACTGTGGGAAAATCAAACACCGCACTTTCCCTCTGGTTTGAAATGAACTTTCGTACGGAACTGGGGTTCACGTGCCAGAATTTAGAGATCGCGTAGGTACTGGAACGGATGGGCTCGTACGAGAAATTGTGAGTTTGAATGCATGCTTTCAGATCGCGATGAAGGCAGCGCGCCGCGCACTGACCCATAGCCACAGTTGCATACTTCATACATGTACTTTTGTTTATGCACTCTTGGTGCTACTCCCTGGTCTAAATTATTATTATTTTTAAACCGATCTAACGGTGCTGACCCTTTCTAAAAATGCGTACACAAATTCTAAATTCTGCAGGGGGAGCTGAGGTATTCCCGTGGAACAACCTGCATGCAGTACGTACATGTTCAGCAGTATATTGACTGTAAATTGAAGTCACACCACAAAATCACGTTTTAATACCGTAGTCGATCTACAGAAACACTTACACTGCATGCTGTATATCCGTGTTCCGCCACACGCAATTTTCAAATCGTGTAGCTGCCTTTGGAAACTCGGAACGCGGCAGTGTACGGCCTATGGAGAAAAGTCATAGATTAGTTCCCCAGTCCACGTCCTGTCCCTCCAGAAACTTGCGGAGACATTTCGGAAATATCGCGGAAAAAGTTGCGAGGTAAAAACGCCACAAAGTGCGGGGAATATTGCGGATTTTGTCAAACATTGCGGGATTATTGTGGTAAAATTGCGGAAATTGCGGAAAGTGCAGCCGATTTTGGTGCTTGCACTGTAGTGCGGTACGATCAGGGAGTCGTCAAATACGGTATTTGACGACTCCCTGGGTACGATCTAAGAGCCGAACAGCATAAATCATGCATGACAAAACAGAACGTGTGCTGCGCGGTACTCGATTGCGACAGTGTTCAACTGCCTGACAGGAGCTTGCAAGACAGCTTTCCTCTATCCTCGGACAACACTCGACGCGAGCCTTATTTTTTTGACTTGTCAGCCGCTGATTTGCCAAGAAACTTCTCCATTCTGGTGTCGATCTCACAAGCAAGACTACTGACGAGCTTGAAGAACTAAACAACATCGAAGAAAAGACTCGAATATCGCGGTTGCTTTTCGAAATATCACGGTGCTTTTCAAGTATCAAGGACAGTTGTTTGTCGTGGATGATTTTTCAAATATCGCGGATATCGCGCACTTTTGTTCAAATCGCGGAAAACAACGCGGCCGCGGAATCGCAAGTTACTGGAGGGACAGACTTACGGAGCACCTACGTTAGTAGAGCCCCACTTACGTCCTCTACGTAGACAACTTTCCGTAAGTGGAGTGCAAACTCGCGAATTCACGGGTTTCCCCCGCCACCTACCCGTATCAGGAGTCGTCACAAGAGTTATTTTTCTGTCGTCCCTGAAGACATGATGGGGAGGGGGGGGGGGGGGGAGATGAGCTAAATTCCCAAGTAAACCACTGTAAATCGATGTTGTTCAGGATTCCATGTGTACATGCATGCATTTCGGAGGGTGGCCGTGGAGGGGGGTGCGAGTACGAAACGGACGGTGTTCGTTTCAGGGTCAACTGAACACTTTTGCGACGATGCCTTAGGGCTAACAACACACACAGCCCAAAGTCTCCAAGTTCCGCCATGACTTTGCCATCCGCTATTATTCGTCAAATTTAGTATTGCTCGGGAAATGTGATAATAAAGATGGAGACAGAAATTGGCTATTGACGCAAAAAAATTAGAAATTGTCCAGTATCTAAGAAGCATAAAGGGACGAGGCGAGAAATTGGGAGGGCGCTTTACGAATGGCAAGGCAGCAAAATCCGAAATACGAGGAAGCGCAACGTGCCCTGATGGGATGGCTGCCACAGCATGGCAAGCTGAAACTGGCTTGATAATAGGTAGGTGACTTTAGAGTGCAATTTGTCCGGGGTGCGCATAATCACTGGTGATGCTAGCTAGCTAAGGGCGGGGAAGGCAATGGGAACTGCAGTGAACGTACACACGCGCATGGCACGGGTAGGGATCTTGATACCTCGTTTCCGCGGAAACGCATTTCAAACGAGCTCGACATAGTTGCTAGGGAACATACCATGCTGCCCGTTGCAGTCACCGACCCACCAGCCGTCGTCGATCTCTTCAACGTTGGTGATGATGTCACCAGGATCGAACGAGATCTCGTTGTCATCCTCGGCCTGGTAGTCATACATGGCCTTTGCTGTTTTGCCACTACCACCACCACCGCCGCCGGTGTCTGCAACACAAACAAGACGACACATGTGCACATAGATTGGTTGTTTGACTAGCCCGGAATGGGAGTTCTAAGAACATGCCCTGTCTCTCTTGCAGTCTTGCGTTGACGAGTAAACAGGCGGAAAGCGAAAGTTGTCGTGGTGGAATGCTTACAAGACATTCACGCTAGCGGCTTGTCATTACTTTGAAGAGGCCTGGCCAGCACCACATGACTGCCGACAAAAACTCCAGTAATGAATTCTGCTGTATGATAATTGCCATGCCGTGCGCATGCTCCAGTGGTTCTCTAGTCTTCTTTCTTGTATTCTTCTCACTCTTGTCTACTCTCTTGTCTAAATACGTCTTCCATATTCAATACTATGAAACCCCTGTGTTCTGCAAGTGTGAGGGGACTAGTGTGAGGGGACTGCGTTTAACCGGGAGCTAACATAACTAACTTGAACTTACAGCAAAACAGACCCTCGCCTCCAGTGTGCGCGAGTAATCATAGTTTGTACTTACTTTCAGGGACGGTATCATAGAGATCCTCCTGTGGTTGTTCCTCGCCAGGGCCTGCCTCAGCGTAAAGGTCTTCTTGAGGTTCAGAGGCTGGGGCACCGGCTTCATGGTATGTATCGTCCTGTAGCAGGTGGCAGCAAACAGAAAGGTTCATGGCTCAAGGGGACCTACCAGGAAATATCCCCCCCCCCCCCCCATGAGGGTACGCGCCTCTTCAAATCTCTTGATCTTCCTTTGTGTGCTAAATCGCCTAGGTACTACAGTTCAAGACACCCTGCAGAACACACGGTATGAACATACGTACGAGTACGTACCTGCTGCTTGACTTGTTCCGGCACCTCATCATACAGCTCTTCCCCGGCTTCACCAGCTGTAGTCACGACAACACATTATCATACACAAGCTGTAGTCACGACAACACATTATCATACACAAGCTGTAGTCACGACAACACATTATCATACACAAGCTGTAGTCACGACAACACATTATCATACACAAGCTGTAGTCACGACAACACATTATCATACACAAGCTGAAGTCACGACAACACATTATCATACACAAGCTGTAGTCACGACAACACATTATCATACACAAGCTGTAGTCACGACAACACATTATCATACACAAGTTCCATGCTGTTAGTCTACACAATGTCATTTTCTGTCATCAACCACCACATTACCAGAACTCCACTCTCCATCATCAACCACCACATTACCAGAACTCCACTCTCCATCATCAACCACCACATTACCAGAACTCCACTCTCCATCATCAACCACCACATTACCAGAACTCCACTCTCCATCATCAACCACCACATTACCAGAACTCCGCTCTCCATCATCAACCACCACATTACCAGAACTCCACTCTCCATCATCAACCACCACATTACCAGAACTCCACTCTCCATCATCAACCACCACATTACCAGAACTCCACTCTCCATCATCAACCACCACATTACCAGAACTCCACTCTCCATCATCAACCACCACATTACCAGAACTCCACTCTCCATCATCAACCACCACATTACCAGAACTCCACTCTCCATCATCAACCACCACATTACCAGAACTCCACTCTCCATCATCAACCACCACATTACCAGAACTCCACTCTCCATCATCAACCACCACATTACCAGAACTCCGCTCTCCATCATCAACCACCACATTACCAGAACTCCACTCTCCATCATCAACCACCACATTACCAGAACTCCACTCTCCATCATCAACCACCACATTACCAGAACTCCACTCTCCATCATCAACCACCACATTACCAGAACTCCACTCTCCATCATCAACCACCACATTACCAGAACTCCACTCTCCATCATCAACC